CGGAATCACCGGACCCAGTACCGCCGCCGAGCATGTGATCACCCTCAAACACAACCGGCCGCTGAAGCAGCGCTACTACCCCCGCAACCCGGCTATGCAACAGGTGATCAATGCTGAAGTCAATGAGCTGCTGGCAGCGGATCGAACCATCAAAGGGCGCGTACAGCTCACCGATTGTCCTAATTCGTAAGAAGCAAGGAAGCTGGAGGATGTGCATAGACTACCGCCAACTCAACGCCGCCAGCCCACTTCCCCAGATTGGAGCAATCCTCGACCAACTCAGAGAAGCGAAGTACATATCCACAATTGATTTTAAAAACGGCTACTGGCAGATACCCCTAGCCAAAGGATCACGGCCATATACCGCCTTCACCGTCCCAGGGCGGGGTTGTTCCAGTGAAAAGTCATGCCGTTCGGGTTACACTCCGTTCTAGCGACATTCCAGCGCGCTCTCGACGCGATTCTCGGTCCGGAACCCCAGCCGAAGGTATTCGCGTTCTAGACGACATCATTGTCCTAGGAGACACCTTCGACGAGCACATGAGCAACATACGAGAAGTGTTCGAACGACTCCAGAGTAAGAGGATGCAGGTGAACTTCGACAAGTGTAGCTTTGTGCACCAGAAGCTCCACTACTTCGGCCACATCGTTAGCTCCGAGGGCATACACACTGATCCTGCAAAAATATCCGCCGTACGAGAAATGCCAGCGGCTCAGAACATCCGAGAGCTTCGTCGATTCCTCGGTCTCGCATCATGGTACCGCCGCTCCGTCGCCGATTTTTCCACGCTTTCAGCACCACTCAACCAACTGCTGAAGAAAGGCCAGGCTTGGGTATGGGGCACACCACAATCATTCCACACCACGCATTCCTGNCATCCGAGAGCTTCGTCGATTCCTCGGTCTCGCATCATGGTACCGCCGCTCCGTCGCCGATTTTTCCACGCTTTCAGCACCACTCAACCAACTGCTGAAGAAAGGCCAGGCTTGGGTATGGGGCACACCACAATCATTCCACACCACGCATTCCTGACATTAACAGGTCTATTCTGCACGTTACCGAAGATTTTGTAACCGGAAAATTGTATTACCAAAAAATGTTACCAGTTTTTGTCACCGCGATTCTGGGTACGTTGGTAATGCAGTTAAAATATTCAGCAATTCAGCTATGAAGAATTGTGCAAATCCTGGCATTGCATATTTCACGGGGCAATAATTTGTTACCAGCTTATGAGATGGTAACAAAATTTACCGGTTACAAGAGTATACAGAATGCGAAAAGGGTTTAAAAATTGCCAGGAACTTTATTTACCGGTTACAAACTTTTTATTACCAGCGCAGAATAGACCTGTAAAAGAGAAGCTCACGAGCGCCACTGCGACCACGAGGGAGTCGTGGCGTACGCCAGCCGAAGCCTAAACGACCTGGAGAAGCGTTACTCAGCCACCGAACAGGAGTGCCTCGCTGTGCTATGGAGGATGCGCAAGATGAGACCGTACCTGGAAGGATACCACTTCACCCTAATCACCGACCATCACTCGCTGAAGTGGCTACACTCGCTGCAGAACCCATCCGGACGACTGGCGAGATGGGCGCTCGAACTCCAGCAGTATAATTTTGACATCGAATACCGTAAGGGAGCACTGAACATAGTAGCAGAAGCACTCTCGCGATGCCCGCTAACAACTACCGATGATGGAGCAGACACGCTCCACACCGTAGAAACCAGCACCGGCGATTGGTACGAGAGGAAACTGAAGGTGGTTCAGCAACAACCCAGCCACAACCCGGACTACCAAGTTATCGACAATAGACTGTTCCGCCACATCGCGCCGCGCAACAAATTCTCCAAGCGCAGCAGAATTACTACTGGCCTGGGATGTACCGCGACGTACTCAAGCACGTGCGAAGATGCCTGCCCTGCGCCGAGTATAAGGTAGAACAAAGACACCCAGCAGGATTGATGGCCACCATGTAGTGCTCACGGCCATGGGAGATCGTCACGGCCGACTTCGTCGGACCGCTACCGCGCTCCAAACATGGAAACACGTGCCTCCTCGTCCTGGTCGACAAGTTCTCCAAATGGGTTGAACTAGTCCCCGTGCGCCAAGCAACCGCCGCAAACGTCATCAAAGCACTCCAGGAGAGAGTCATCTGCAGGTTCGGCTGCCCCGCCGTCTTTCTCAGCGACAACAGGAAACAATTCGTGGGCAAAGCGCTAGCAGCATTCCTCGGCGAACATCGCATAGAATATAAATTCACCGCAGCATACGCCCCCCACGAAAACCCGACCGAGCGAACCAATCGAGTAATAAAAACCATGATAGCCCAGCGCTCAAAGACAGATCACCGCACCTGGGACCAGGAGCTCCCCCAGATCGCCTTCGCTATAAACACGGCTCAGCACGAATCCACGCAAGCTTCCGCCGCGGAGATAAACTTCGGGCGCAATACAGCAGCGCCACGGCAGATACGCTCCGAAGGGGCAGTACCTGAAGAGCACCCCGCAGCACCTCCAGCCATCACCGAGTTATGGACAGAGATAAATGGGCACCTCACCGCGGCAGCCAAGCAGCAGAAAATATACTATGACCTGCGCAGACGGCCGTGGAAACCTAAGGTGGGAGAGAAGGTTATGAAGCGAGATCACTCACTCTCCTCTGCTGCCGACAACTATGCACAGAAGCTTGCTCCAAAATTCTCAGGCCCATACATAGTCGCCAAGTACATATCTACCAACACCGTGAAACTCGGCAACCCCGAGCGGCCCGACAAACAACCAGCGCACGCACACCTGCAGGACCTAAAACCATTCACCACATAAACAACCAACCAACTACCGAAGCCGCAGCGACATAACGACCGAAACCCGCTCTCCATCTTATCATTTCCAGATTCTTTCCCCAGTCACGTCAGACATGCCGCTGTGATGAGCCGCCGAAAGCTCCACCCAGCTCCACCAGATGAGCCAAAACGCATCCGACGATGGCGACCGCCATTTGAGAGTACGCCGTGGCCACCGAACAAACCACGAATTCAGCGTGTTCAGATTTTCCACGGGCCACTGCTGCAACACACCAGTCGCTATTGGCCGTGCAAGAAATAGTCACCGCTAAAAGCTCACCGTCCACCGCCAACGACGTCGAACGCGAGAGACCATGCTCAGACGACGACCCGCGGGGAAAGTTAAAAGTCCACAGCAAAGACGCGGCGACCGTTAGCCCACTACGCGGAGAGTTCACTGCCGAAAACGAAACACGTGACAACAGCAAAAGCGAGACCATCAGGGGGGAGCACCCCACATGCGTGCAACAGCACGAAGCCGAAAGGAAGGAATTCCAGGAGCGTCTTGCCGGCCAGCCAAGCCAAGCTCGGCGTAACCAATCGCGACTAAATGGTGTCCCTTCGGGCGCATTAATTGTCGCCGACTGGCCAAGCAAAAACCAAGTACGACTCAACCCGCCGTCTGACCGGGGATTGTACGCCTTTTTAGGCATCCTTATTTGTCACCGGCTGGTTGAGCCTCCGACACCGCCGACCCGTTCCAGCCCCTACTCGTCTAGAGTGCGATTATGGGAGCGACGGTTCCTGAGTCTTGCTAGTCTTGCTAGGTCGCTTCGCTCCACCGGTTGCCGAGCCGCTGAGTGCCAGTACGAACAACCCGTTGCTGTTAGAAGTCACCCGCTGCCGAAGATCACCCGTCGGGCCGCCCTCGTTGCTCAACAGTTGTTGAGAATCACCCGCCGTGCTGCTAGCGCTCTCACCGTTGCTCAACCGTTGCTCCGCTGTTGCCAAGAGTCACCCGCCGCGCTGCTAGCGCTCCCACCGTTGCTAAGAGTCACCCGCCGCGCTGCTAGCGCCCTCACCGTTGCTCCGCCGCTCCTGAGAGTCATCCGCCGTGCTGCTAGCGACCCGACCGCACGACCACAACGAACGTCATCTCTCCTCTCGCTCTCCTTCTCTTTTGACTAAGCACTCTAGTCGTAGCGCCGTGTGTGTGTGTGTGTGTTCGAAGTAAATACACGAAAATAGTGTGTTTTATTTGGTGGGGGTTAGTGGGACATTCGCTGGACTCTGGATCGGCTGAGTTCACCTCAGACTTGAAAAAAACGCACCTCATAACATATAATATTTCTGTTTTTGTGTTTGTGAGTGAATCGATTTTAACGAAATTTTTTGTGTGTGCTGGAGTAAGGTCTCTGGATAAATAGTTCAGATTCCCAGTTTGAGTCGTGTTATTTTTAATTATCTTAGTTAAAATCCGATCTGCCTTATATTCGAGATACTTATGTATTGGTAACGGTAAGGGCAATACTATTGCAATAAAACAGCCGCCGGGGGACGCTGGGGTCGAGTTACATATTACTAAAAATCGTCGAGTGAGAAAGAGTGCGGTGAATGTCCGATTACATCGACATGCTGTACCACCGAGTATGCCGAGCTCACGTGTGTTCCGATTGGCTCAATGAACGTGATTTGCGAGCTTCATTCTGATACACCAGGATTGAGTTATCCAAGGGTCAATCTCAAATGACCAGCATTAAATCTACCATAAGAACCATTGCGCTCCTTGATAAGAGCTTTAAGGTATTGCAACTGAAATAAGTCTGTACTGTATATAGGATTTCTGTTGAACAACGATACTCACCAATTTTTAAATTGCAACCAACTATACCATACAGTTTCAAGGACAGAATCAACCGGATCATTGTTGCTACCAGGGGGTGAATGGGAGAAAGTTCTTCAAATCTATTTCGGTGTGCGATTAACAGTGCTGTGAAACGCCAGATCATTGGAGAATTTCAAGAACTTCTTCACGAACATACACTTTCGTTAGGTTATTAAAGACGACAATGGAAATATGCCTTCTGACAACCACCAAACCGTAATATTAGCAGATAAATGTATCACTAGAAATCGTGAACGCGAATTTTTGGTGAAAATATTGGACCAAAATATTTCAGTAAAAAAATTAATTTTGGGCGGGACGAAGTTCGAAGTAAATTCAGGGCCGTATTTAAGGACAATCGCCTAACTTCGGCAATTTGTATGCGATTGCAATAAATGAGCTATCAGTTTATTTAAAAATAGATTTAATTTAGATAGTACTGCATATGTCGAAATTGTGGAAATTATCGATGGTCAAAATTTAAAAATTAAGAGAAATATGGGTTTATTATTTTACCCGATAAAAAATTCCAACAAGCCAAGTCCGACAATAGATTATTTATTATATACCATCTTAAAAGCCTATATCCTCTTCCCAGATCATATTCGACCTTTGAAATCGAATCTAAAATAGTTATTCAAAAACTCATACATCTACAAAATCGTATTTTCTGACCTAAATCGACAGGTCGCGACCTCTAAATGACCTTTAAAAAATTTATAAAAACAGGCAATAATATTTTTCATAAAACGAATAAAATTATGGGGTAGGGTCTGGAAATTTCCAAAAAGAGCATTTCGATGGGCACCCTAGTGTACACTATAATTTGACAAATACAAACAATCATGTAGAAAAAATTTATTTTTTTACACGAATTGAAAATGTTGCGATATTTCAATAGTGTTATTGAGCTTTGTACCACGATTTGTTTGTTAGGAAAAATGGAAAAAACAACAATCTTAAGCGGTAGAAGTTATAGCAGCTATTTCGGACATCACCACATCTCCTTATATGACTACTTTTTTTTCTAAACTTTCTGCAGGGATCGAACCCGCGTTATTGATTTGCAAAGTCAGAAGCGCCNCGCGAATTTTTGGTGAAAATATTGGACCAAAATATTTCAGTAAAAAAATTAATTTTGGGCGGGACGAAGTTCGAAGTAAATTCAGGGCCGTATTTAAGGACAATCGCCTAACTTCGGCAATTTGTATGCGATTGCAATAAATGAGCTATCAGTTTATTTAAAAATAGATTTAATTTAGATAGTACTGCATATGTCGAAATTGTGGAAATTATCGATGGTCAAAATTTAAAAATTAAGAGAAATATGGGTTTATTATTTTACCCGATAAAAAATTCCAACAAGCCAAGTCCGACAATAGATTATTTATTATATACCATCTTAAAAGCCTATATCCTCTTCCCAGATCATATTCGACCTTTGAAATCGAATCTAAAATAGTTATTCAAAAACTCATACATCTACAAAATCGTATTTTCTGACCTAAATCGACAGGTCGCGACCTCTAAATGACCTTTAAAAAATTTATAAAAACAGGCAATAATATTTTTCATAAAACGAATAAAATTATGGGGTAGGGTCTGGAAATTTCCAAAAAGAGCATTTCGATGGGCACCCTAGTGTACACTATAATTTGACAAATACAAACAATCATGTAGAAAAAATTTATTTTTTTACACGAATTGAAAATGTTGCGATATTTCAATAGTGTTATTGAGCTTTGTACCACGATTTGTTTGTTAGGAAAAATGGAAAAAACAACAATCTTAAGCGGTAGAAGTTATAGCAGCTATTTCGGACATCACCACATCTCCTTATATGACTACTTTTTTTTCTAAACTTTCTGCAGGGATCGAACCCGCGTTATTGATTTGCAAAGTCAGAAGCGCCAACCACTGAGCTATGCACACCCCGTAAGCTTTTGTTGCTAATCCATTTTCCTTATTCATCCTTCTACTATCAAGTGCAGCTGATTCGCCGCTTTAAAGCTTGACAGCGTGGTTGTTATTGCGGTACAAAGCTCAATAACATATATATATTTTTGATGGACGCCACAAATGGTACATTTTATTTTATTTTCGGCCATTTTACTCGGATATTGCACCCTGTATGTGAGGTTGCATAAATTATTTATCTAAAGAGTAAAAACACTCATATTTCAAAATTTTTCTCTCTTTTATAAAGAAATCGGGTTACCGGCTAGTATATGGATAAGGCTTGAGCCAAGAGCTTCGGTGAGGAAATCCAATTTTTGGCAAAAAATGTCAGTTACGCGGTTTTGCAGAGCAACGATACGTGTTTTTGTATTTTAAACGACGATATCTAGTTTTCGAATTTTGACAATACTTGGAAACTGTTACCAAAGATCGGGAACTATTGCCATGGTTTGATGATTAAAATTAAATGTGTTATAATTCCGATATTCATCTAGGTTGAACCAAATCGTTAAAATAGATGAAGGGTTTGGTAAATATGTACTAATTAATATTACTTTGAAGCATATTTTTACAAATTCCATCCAACTTAACGTATGGTTCATAAAAAGATGCTATTAAGGTCTGCTAATACGGATAAGCTTTTTCTCAACGCATTGTATAGTTATAGTTACTAAATTGTAGTTGAGGCAACCGCCATTATTTAACCACTCCTAAAGAATGCGCTAGAGCAGCGGTTCTCACACTTTTTTTGGCGTACCACCTATGAACGTACATACATAGAAATGTGTAAACATACATAAAACGAACCACAAAACTAAAAAAGGGACGTAAACTGGTTTTGAACCGCACTGGTTTTGAACCGAATCCCGCTTTTTCTATTAATTAACTGAACCATTAACCGAACCAAAATTTTACACAAATGTTTCATCCGAACCGAAAACCAAACCCCTTCTCATAAAGGCTTGTTTCTACCAATTTTCAATAGATAAATTTACCAATTTTTTCTCGTTTTGTTAAAAATGGTAATACATACCCTGTTTGTTTACCATGTGGCAATATCAAATGTAAAGGCAACCCATCTCACACTTGACACTTACCCTTGAGCGTTGTTGCACTTGACACTTGTCTCTTAAACTTGCGCGTATTTTTTTTTTTTTTTTGATTTCCGAACCATTGAACCGAACCGAAACCTCAGATCAAAGACCAAAAAACTGCTGTGATGAACCAGCCCAAAAGTGCAAAATCGAACCGCTGAACCGAACCGACCAAATTTTTCATCCGGTTCACGTCCCTGAAAAAAAGTGTTTTGTGTACTTTGTGTCCACCAAAACTTTGGAGTGACTGATTACTTATAAACATGCAACAGATTATTGTTTTAAGAAAATAACCTTTTTAAGTTTTGGATTTTATCAAAGAACAAGGGTTTGAAATCTAATATATAAAAATCTCGTGTCACGGTGTTAGTGGTCGAACTCCTCCTAAACGGCTCGACCGATCTCTATGAAATTTTTCGTGTATATATGGTACGTATGAGAATCGGATGTAAAGTATATTTCATACCGCTAGGTGCAGGGGGCGTGGCACCTCCTACACAAACCGAATTTTCATACTGCATATCTCTGGAAGTGTTCATGGTAGAGTACTCGAATATGGTATGGAGATATTTGAAAACAATCGCATACTCATGAAGAAAACTTGCGGTTATTGGAAAAGGGGCGTGGCACCTTTCATACAAACCGAATTTGGAGATATATGAAATCAATTACATGGCTGTGAAGAAAAATTGGGGCTATTAGAAAAAGGGGCGTGGCACCTCCCATACAAACCGAATTTTTCATACTGCATATCTCTGGAAGTGTTCATGGTAGAGTACTCGAATATGGTATGGAGATATTTGAAAACAATCGCATACTCATGAAGAAAAATTGCGGTTATTGGAAAAGGGGCGTGGCACCTCCCATACAAACCGAATTTTTCATACTGCATATCCCGGAAAATGTTCATGGATGAGGACTCGAACATGGAATGGAGATATATGAAACCAATCGCATACTCATGGAGAAAAATTGTGGTTATCGGAAAAGGATGCGTGGCACCTCCCATACAAACCGAATTTTTCATACTGCATATCCCGGAAAATGTTCATGGATGAGGACTCGAACATGGAATGGAGATATATGAAACCAATCGCATACTCATGGAGAAAAATTGTGGTTATCGGAAAAGGATGCGTGGCACCTCCCATAAGAATCGAATTTTTCATACTGCATATTTCTGGAAGTGTTCATGGTAGAGCACTGGAACTTGGTACATAAAAGATATATAAAATCAATCGCATAGTCATGAAGAAAAATTGGGGCTATTGGAGAAAGCGGCGTGGCACCTCCCATACAAACCGAATTTTTCACACTGCATATCTCTGGAAGTGTTCATTGTAGAGTACTGGAACTTGGTATGTACAAGAAATATAAATACAGTCGCATAGTCATGAAGAAAATTGGGGCCATTGGAAAAAGGTGCGCGGCACCTCTCACACAAACCGAATTTTTCACATTGCATATCTCCGGAAGTGTTCATGGTAGAGTACTCGAACATGGTATGGAGATATATAAAATCAATCCCATACTCTTAGAGAAAATGGGGGTTATTTGAAAATGGGGCGTGGCGCCTTTCACACGCACTGCAACTATTACGTATTCATGTACACTTTTGCTAGGTTATTTAAGATGGCAATGGAAATATGCCTTCCGACAACCACCACCNATATAAAATCAATCCCATACTCTTAGAGAAAATGGGGGTTATTTGAAAATGGGGCGTGGCGCCTTTCACACGCACTGCAACTATTACGTATTCATGTACACTTTTGCTAGGTTATTTAAGATGGCAATGGAAATATGCCTTCCGACAACCACCACCCCGTAATATTAGAAGATAAATGCGTCACTGAAACATGAACGTGAACTGTTGGTGAAAATGTTGGACCAAAATGTTTCAATGCAAAAAATTTATTTTTGGGGGGGGCGGGGGGTGGGGGGTTCGAAGTTCGCCGGGTCTGCTAGCGGGGGGGGGGTTCGAAGTTCGCCGGGTCTGCTAGCAGGCCAGTCGTTTCTCTTCTGTGCCAACCGTCGCCAGTTAGAAACGCCAAGTGAAGCCAAGTTCTTCTCCACCTGATCTTTCCATCGCAGTGGGGGCCTCCCTCTCCCTCTGCTACCCCCAGCAAAATTTTCTATACTTTGTTATTTAGGGGATTCATTAAACTCGAAAAGTCTTAAACCGAGTAAAACTCGTAAGTTTACGAGGCTTTTATGGGAACGCCCCCTTTCTGAAAAGGTGCAAATAGGTGCGTAAAGTGACTGTTTGACAGATCAACCAGAATTTTGTGAAGCAATGTTTGTTTCGTAGTATTTTCCATAACATCCCGCCATCTTATCTATATACTCTTAAATAAAATGCAGTTAAAAATGCCGAAAATTAGGAGAACACCTACATATGTCGAAACAGTTAGTAGATGAAACTCATTCATTTTATTCGCGTATTATTTCTTTTCTTTTATTTTCATTATTTTATCATACATTTTAGTATAAAAGTTTCGGCCCCCTCGGCTGATTTTTACGGGGTTGTTTGCGCATCATATGTGCCTCGTAAACTTACGAGGGGCTCGTAAATAGAGCTCCATACAAATTTTGACAGTCCTTTTACGAGGCTCATAAATTTACGAAGTTTACGAGACTTTTACGAGTTTAAGGGAACACCCCTATTATATGTATGGTGATACCACATCTAATTTGTTCGAAATGCAACGTGAAATGCCGAGCCGTGAATTGATATCACGAAATATGCCACACGTTCAATACTTATTGACAGATCTTTGATCCATATATTGAGAAAATGAAGAAAGGAGGTTCGAAGAGCAGTTTGTGCGGTGTATTTGGGTTCTATAGCGCTTCGGTATATGTACTTATGTCGATTTTTTAAATCAAAAGACAAGAGCTTTAAGCGCGCTTTTATGAAAAGCATATTTTTAAACGCGTGCGTTGCAAAAATATTTATGTGTTGTTTTCTGTTTCAAAATTTTTTGTTATATTCTTCTTTATACACGTACGTATACAGGGATTGAATAAAAATGTATGTTTTTATATACGTATGCAAATGTATCTAATATATGAGGCCTTGTGCGCCAGAGTAGCTTAACTGACATTTCAAAAAAAGTTGAGGTGCACCTTAAAATGCATTACAAGAACCGAAACGGTAATAGCCCGAGGCACGCCCTTTTAGTTTTATTTTACTATAATATGTAGAATCACGTAGGTGGTATTACTGAAAATTTGTCTTTAGATAGGCTCACTGGCCCTCATAGCCTCATATGTAAAATGAATTTGTTTACTTTTCTTTCAGTAAAACTTTATTGTACCCATGTCTTATTCATGGCAAATAAACGAGGTTTGTTTTTACAGTTTGTTGTATAATAAAACGTTGTTTTTTACTTGCTAACTTTTTTGTAAATTCTGGGCAGAAAATTTTTTGTCGTGAGGTAACCGTGTTTGTGTGATATCAAGGCACACACCGCTCGCCAATCGGAGGAGAAGCTCGGCCAATAATTTTAAGCTTTGCACAGATTGCTTTGCAGAGCACAGTAGGTGTACTAATCTAAATGGTAATACAAGCATTTTGTGTCCGATTTGCCGTCAAATTATTCGACAATCGACGNAAAAAGAAGTCTGATGAGGAGATGTGGTGATCTCCGAAATAGTGCTATAACTTCTACCGCTTAGACTTTGTTGCTTTTTCAATTTTTCCTAATAAACAATCGTGGTACAAAGCTCAATAAAAATACTAAAAATAAAATATAGTTTAATCCTTTGACTACACGTTTGTGTTAAAGCTTTTAGATTCTGGTCATGCGTTTGGACACAATAACCCAAAATCATTGTACAAATAACTTAACCGTACACAAGTTTCTCGATAAAGGGCAACAAACATTATTTTTTGTTCGTTAATATAAAGTAGTGGATAAAAATATATGCATATGCGAAAGGTAAATTTATCTGTTTAAAAGAACACCACTCGCTTACGACACAGAAATATTTTCGTACAAAATTACGCAAAGCTGTCAATTTCTTACTCGCTCGTTTTTAGGAATGCCATTGATATGAATTTCTACGATTCGTAGCAAAATCCTAATACGGAAGTGGTGCACAACAGGTGTGTTAATTTTATTATCAACCAAAACTCTATTGGTGGTTTTACCATGCAAACTTAAATTCAAATCATGTCATACTACACATGTGTGCTAAGTAAGCTAATATTGTTAGCCACAATTCGTCTGTCAATCGACTTTGCAATTCAAAATTAGTTTCCGTTAAAAAACAATTGTACCTCGGAATGCAATTCGAACAACCTGCTCAGCATTTTCTCCTTTGAAAGTCATCTTACCTCCGTATATAGCAGCAACTGAATATGAGCGCTGCCCATTCCAGAACACAAAAAAATTGAAAAGAAAAGAGAGTTTAAAGCTCGAGACTTTATAAAATTGACTATCTTGATAATAAAATTGAGCTATCATTTGTTTGGCTTGTCCGCTAGGGTACCACCTTTGGTGGTATAATGTAGCACTGGTAGTACGCGTATCACAGATTCAGAAACCCTGCGCTAGAGCAGTGGTCGGCATTCTAACACATTAAGTTTGTAAGTTGCGAAAAGTGCCCAGAGCGTGAGGAATGCAAAAAACCACTTTTCTTACCCGGAATCAACAAATCAGTTCTAAACAATGATTTTATGTGCATTTATCTCATACAGCTAATAAAATTAGCAAATACCTACATTTCTGAACCTTTAGTGCTATTTTCCATTTTTATATTTTACAAAGAAGCTCGGCCAAACACTAACATATGTGTTAGCGCCAACATATTATTATTATTATATTTTACAAAATTTACTATCGGATGTAGGTTAGGTTAGGTTAAGTGGGCGGCTGTGAGAAGAGTTCACTCGGAGGCCACAAAGGCCCACTACGATGCCCAGGGGTGTTTCCCCATGCCTATCCCTACATGTCTTTGAACCATTTCGATTCCCTGGCGAATCCAAGCAGTCCCTCCAGTGGAGCTTTCGCTAAGGTACCCAGGCTCTCGAAGAAATGGTCCCCAAGAAATTTGAGGCGTTTTTTTCGGAGTGCTGGACATTCACAAAGGAAGTGCTGGATGGATTCTACCTCCGCCTCATCTCTACAGCTTTTACAGAAATCGTTATGCGGTGCTCCGAACCTGGCAGCCATGTGACCAATGGTACAGTGTCCCGGTACTATTCCTGTGAGAAGTTTAACGTTTGGCTTTGACAGCCTTAATAAACTCATTGTTCTTCGTTCGTCGAGCCGTGGCCAGAGCGATCGCGATACCATGCAGGTGTGCAGATTTTCCCGCCTGCTGTTGGTGGCTGCCTTGGTCACTCTCTCGACATCTGAAAACAGAAATCGCAGGGGAGGTTTCACGACCTGGATCGCTTCCCCAAGCCCCATTCCAGATCCCTTTCAAGCACATTCGTCCGCTTCCTCATTTCCTGGGACACCGTTGCGTCCCGGGACCCAGTAAAGGTTGATTATGTGTTGCTGTAGAGCTTGAAGGGATCTTCGATATTTCTTATCTCATATCGAGTTGGTTGTTTCCGACCCTAAGGCTTTGATAGCTGCTTGACTGTCCACGACAAAGGCAAGTTTAGATGGAGCTAGGTCGATTATGCTCACCAGCCTTGCCGCCATGTCGATTCCATATACCTCAGCCTGAAAAACACTGCAGTGATCCGGGAGTCTGTAAGACTCTCTCAGAGATAACTCCTGACACTCGTTTATCTTACCTCCCTTTTTCATATTTTGAAGGAGCTTATTCGCAAAGAAATTAAAAGAGTGAGAAAATGATACCTCATAAGTCTAAATGGTAAGGTTTTGGTTGAGTTATTTAAGTTTTTCTTAAACCAGTCTTTGAAAAAAGTGCAAAAACAGCATCAAAAATCTCATTATTATGATTCCGTAGAAATTTTTTTTTATATTTTTATGAAAACTTTTTAAGCTTAAACTACTTAGTCATCTGAGGTAATTTTGTCAAAAAATATTAAAAAAAAAACTGTTTATTAATAAAAGAGCTCAATTTTTGGTGGTATTTTCAGCTCGTAAATCTTTTGCGAGATATTTTGGTGGAAGTCTTAAAATATAATACATAGATTTTATAATTCCAGTGGAAAACGGCACCGCTTTTTTTGTATGTGCAGTGATGCAGTCTACATAAGTTGGCTATGATTACTTGGCCGTCTATCATAGTAGCACAATACCGCTAAGTACATTTTAAAATTTTCAGGCAATAGCCCCATGCGATTATCGATTATATTTTTTGATATGTGTGTAATATTTTATTTTTATCAGTATTTTTCTTTTAATCAAAATATGTTGATATAAAAGTGAAAAAAAAATATTTTGCCAGAACCTCCCCGAAAAAAATCCTGGCTACGGCCCTGCTTATAACGGATAATTGTTTCGCAAAAACTTGGTTAAAATATGATTTTTTTGTTGTTTAAAGTAATAATAAATACATATATACATATATAAGATACATTTTATGAATTTATGACATACTAACTTTTATTATTTTTTTCTAGGGATTACAATAGCTATTGCAATATGCCTTCTCATTCTTGGAATTTTGGTCACTTGTGAATTTACTGCGCTAATTAATCTAATAATTAACTACCAAGTTGCACTCCGGCCAGGGAGCCAAACTTTCGGCTGGTGGGCCAAGCCTCCAGTGGAACCAAAAATTTCTGTTTATGTGTACAATGTCACAAATGCCAACGAATTTTTAAACAATGCATCAAAACCTATTCTAGATGAAGTGGGGCCTTATGTTTACACGTAAGTTTTGTGAAAAAATTACAAATATTAAAAAGTTTACAGAGACATTTCATACGACGATTCTATGAGTCAAGTTTTCTCAAGTGGGCCACCCAAAGTTGACTTTTCGATTTTTAATATTTCATTGACCGATTTTGAAAGTTAACATGGTGTGAACTATTGACACCAAAAATTTTGCGCTACTTTTATTTTTTTACGAGTTATTTGCAAATTAATTTTTATGCAGGCGTTTACAATTTTTGAAATATTCCAGCAACCATTCATTCGAATCGTATGATTTTTTTGACAGCAGTTAGAGAACTTATTGGGCAACAAAATAAAGTGGTCAGTTTGTAAAATTTCGATTCTTGTTTTATAAAAGTTTTTATTTTTTTAATCAATTGAATTTTGTTACATAGGAAAAAAATTCAAAAAGCATTATTTACTGTAGATATCCAATTTTATTTTCATAAAAAAAAATTACTCTACCTTTGATTGACTTAAAGTTTTTTACTAAAAAAATGAACGAAGCTTAAAAAGAAAATATAATACAAATGAACTGAAAAGCAAAAAAATAAAACTCAATCATCAAATCTAGAATTATCAAATTATTTTATTTTTTTTGCTTTTCAGTTCATTTGTATTATATTTTTTAACTTGGTTCATTTTTTTGGTAAAAAGCTTGTAAGTTAAAAAAATAAAAAAAAATTATAGAACAAGAATCAAAATTTTACAAGCTGTGCACTTTATTTTGTTGTCCAATAAGTATTCTAATTGCTTTCAAAAAATCATAAGATTCGAATGATGGTTTCTGAAATATTTCAAAAAGTGTAAAAGCTTGCATAAAAATTTCTTTGCAAATAACTAGTCAAAAAAATTAAATTAGCGCAAAATCTTTAGTTTCAATATTGTGCATTTTCAAAATCGGTCAATGAAATATAAAAAAATCGAAGTCTGCTTTGGGTGGCCCACTTGAGAAAACTAAACGTTAATAACGTTAAAAGTTATAAAAAATAGTGAGTTTCTACGCGAGTTCGTCCGATTTAGTGGAACTTTTGCCCATAACTACGGTGACCAGATTTCTGTGGAAAAAAATCGGGACATACCTAAACCATCGATTTCAACATACAATTTTGTCTTTAGAATAAAAAGACATTGCATATTTTAATAGTTTTATTTAAAACAAAACAAAGAGCAAAAAATTTATATTCAATATATATGCGGTGTAAATAGGGAAGCCACATTTTGGCAAGTTTTGGCCACTTTTCTTTGATTAAAAAATGTTTATTGGTATTTTATGAAAATATAACTTACTATTAAAAAAACACGTCAATCAAAAATTCAAACTTTGTAGAACATTTATGAAAATTCGAAGAAATTAACAAATGGTGATCAAAATTTTTGCCATTTTAATTAGATTTTCTACAATTGTTTTGAGCAGGGTTTTAAATTGCTTTTAAATGCGTTCGCAGTTGCTTAACTACGACTAACACATATAAATCAGCAAAAGCGAAAAAGAAAAATAAAATAAAAAACTTTTTAATATACAACGCTTTTATAAATGGACTAAAAATTATTTTCTCTAAATTTCTCAGTCCCATAGAATTTGTTTTGATAACTTTTGATTTTGATATTTTAGCAAAAGTCATTATAAACCATATATGAGAATGAAAACGAAAAACGTGGAGCGCATGCAGCATTAAATTTAATTGACAATAGTCAAACTACATAACATAGACCCAAAATTTCTACAGAGAAAGTACAAATTTGATATCGATTTTAAGCGGTCGTTATTCACATATCCACATTCATACATATATTACCCTTCATATCAATTCAGGTCTACTACATGCACCCCACGCTCTTGATTTCCAATCTCATAAATTTTTTATAATGACTTTTGCCAAAATTTCAAAATCAAAAGTTATCAAAACCAATTCTATGGGACAAAGAAATATTATTTTCTAATCTTTAGTCCATTTATAAAACCGTTGTATATTAAAAAGTTTTTTGATGTGTATACATCTTTGGTTTCGGTAGCGGTAAAATTTGCGAAGCTGTAACGCATAGCCCAGCAGAAAATTTCGAAGAGCCAGCATGTGTATTGCAGCAGAAAAATTTTAGTTTCATTAGAAGCACCCTGTGTTTACTTGGATATGTTGCATACATTTATGCAGAGTAAGAGGAAATGCGGTACAAACGATTATTACTTCCGATTATGCAAACTCCGCGCATGCATACGGATATGTACCTATATGTATACATACTTAAATTTGTATGTACATACATATGGATGAGCTCATTTGTTGAAAGTGTTTCGATATTCGTAGAATGCTTTAAGGCATATGGTTAGTAGTCTATTGATAAGAAAGCCAGGCGAAAATTTTCAAAATTTTGAAATCATTTTATCTGGGTCCGTTGATAACTGATGAACATACATGTGCATATATATGCATATATATACGTATGTGTGTATGGACGATATAATAGCTCTGATCCAATACTTTTCCTGTTAAAAGTGAGAGTAAAAAGTGAGTAACAGCAAAAAGTACGGAAACCTAGAAAGCATCGGGTAAAATCTTCCAACTTCATTCTCCACACAACTCTCCAAACACCGCTCTCATTAACAAGATTTTGGAGTACGGGATCATTTTTCCTGTAACTTCCTGCAAGTTCGTGTAAACACCTGTTAGTTCATTGAGTACTGGGTTTATTTGTAAGTCGAAAAATGTAAATCGTAAAATGTAAATCGTAAAATGTAAATCGTAAATGTAAATTTGGGTTCATTTGGTTTATTTGTAAATCGAGCAGATTTAAAATATATTAAAAGGGTCATGAAAAAAATACAATGGACGGCATGTAGTCTGAGTTTGGTTTTCTGCAAGCGTTTTTTGCGTGCTTGGTTCCAACAAAAAAAAAAGTTCAAACGCAGGAAAATTTGGTACTTAAAAAAAAGGCGTGAGTACTAGGTTCTCATGAAATTTGATGTGTAAACATATGCGTACGGCAAAGCATAAAAGCACGTTTACATATAAATATAATCTCCATGACAACCCTAGGAAAAGTTAATTTTCTTCTCTGTGCAACCGTGGGCACTTTTTCCTGCTACACATATTAAGCAATTTAAATATTTTTTAACTTAATATTTTATTACAAATACCTTTACAAACCTCTTTTCCTTGCGTAAATTTTTGTTTGCTTCTCCATTTGACATTCCTCCTCTTCTTCGCAAGTATAATCGATAAAACTAGGTTGAACACCAAAAAGTTATCGGTTTAATCTGAGATTATTTTATAATTATAATTTTGTATGGCTAGTCTCTTTTTCTAATTACAGATTAGGGAGTTAAGATCGAAAATGAGCATAATCTATTTATATGTAAATTTATTATTAGGCGATTCAGTTACATACTCGTACATACACATCCACGTGTTAGAAATTAAACATAAATTTTACTCAATTTTATTCAGTTTGCGGATTTAATTCTTTTTATTCATTTTCATTTTTAATTTTTTAATACATGAAATTATAGGTATGATTGATAAAATATGATACTTGTATATACTTGTAACTCAAGGGCGCTAAAATATATTGAAAACGTCGCATCAATTGTTGTTTTTGAGCTTGTAGTTTGAGCAAACGAACCCAGTTAAATTGATTTCAGTATTCCTTAAATTTTCGCCTTGTTTTTTATCAACAGTATACTAAACCTATGCCTAAAACCATGTTACGAATATCAAAACCACTTGCAACAAATGAGTTCATACATATATATGTACATACAAACTTAAGTATGTATACATTTGTATGGGTAAATAGCCGTTTGCATACGCGGTCTTTGCATAATCGGGAGTAATAATCATATGTACCGCATTTCCTGTTACTCTGCATATGCCTTAATGTATGCAACCGTTTGCAGTAGCAAGCAAACACAGGGTGCTTCTAATGAAATAAAAAAAATTCTGCTGCATTACACACGCTAGGCCTTCCGAAATTTTCTGTTGGGCTTTTGTAACGCATAGCCCAGCAGAAAATTTCGAGGCCAGCGTGTGTATTGCAGCAGAAAGATTTTAATTTCATTAGAAGCACCCTGTGTTTCATTGATATTGCAAATGGTTGCATACATTTAGGCATATGCAGAGTAAGAGGAATTGCGGCATAATTGATTATTACTTCCAATTATGCAAACACCGCGCACGCATACTGCTGTATATCTATCTGCACACATACTGAAGTTTGCATGTACATACATATATATGAACTCATTTGTTGCAAGTGGTTTCGATATTCGTAGCATGGTTTTAGGCATATGTTTAGTAGGCTTGATAAAAAGCGAGGCGAAATTTTAAAAAATACTGAAATCATTTTAACTGGGTCCGTTAATAACTGATGAACATACATGTTCATAAGTATGTATATATACATACATATGTATGTATGGATGATATAATAGCTCTGATCCAATACTTTTCGTGTAAAATCCTGTAAAAATGTCAAACAGCAAAATTACTCTCTGAAGTCAGAGTAAAAAGTGAGCAACAGCAAAAAGTACGGGCATAACAGAGCATCGGGTAAAATCTTGCAACCCTCTCTACACAACTCTCCAAAAATCGCTCTCATTCACATGATTTTGGAGTACGGGATCTATTTTCCTGTAACTTCCTGTAAGTTCGTGTAAAAGTTCATTGAGTACTGGATCAGAGCACAAAGAGAAGACGTGAGTAAGAGGAAATGCCACACAAATTAATTTAGCTTCCCATTTTGCAAACCAAAGATGGTATGTTATATGTATTCATGACTTTAACGTAAACCCAGCGACAGATGAAGCAGAACTACAGATTATATTCCTAAAAGAAAAACTAAATTTAGGAATATATACAAATATAAATGCTCAAACTACAAGCTCAAAAACAGTAATTAATGCGGTGTTCTCAAGATATTTTAACGCCCTTGAATCACAAGTAAATACAAGTATCATATTTTATTTAATTACTAGCAGACCCGGCGAACTTCGTCCCGCC